ATGCCCATTTATGTACATTTATGTATATTTATGTGTATTTTGAATTTATTTGTTTATGAGAATTTGGTATTTCATTTAAATTAATGAGTGACATTAATAATTTAAGTTAAAAATGTTTACGAGTTAAAAATGTGAATTAAAAATATTTACGTTATTTAATGCGCCTTTAATGACGTTGTAATTATGCGCCAGGTGCCCGGTAAGGAGCCTATGTGAAATTAGCACGGTTTTCTGACCGTGTTACCCCGCGTTACGCTCGTGTTGTGCCCGTGCCGTGCACGTGACGTGCTCGCTTGTAACTTTAGATTGAGATTCATGAGAGTTTAGGAAGTATATATTTGATTTGTGTTCGTTTTTTGTTATCGCCTTTGTTTTCAAATAAAATCGCAAAAACGTGACGTCAGCGGAAACTATAGCCGTTATTGATTGGAGCTAAAGAGGGCCGACACACTTACAGCGTAGGGGCCGAAGCTGCGCCTCTGCCTGTAGAGGAGGAGGCAGATGAGGGCGGAGATGATGGTCTCGGCCAGCGTGAAGAGGAGGAGGGAGGACTTGATCCCCCGGCTCAGTCTCTGTGGTCACACAGGGCGGACAGGTCACCGAAGGGGGTGGAACGGCCCTCACATCCTACAGACCCCCCCCCCCCCCCCCCCCCCCCGGAGCAGGTCGTATCCTCTGGACCCTCTGCTCCTCTTTCTGTGATTCCCTCTATCTCCTCCTGTCTCCACTGACTCTGACTGGGGGTTTTCCATCTAGAGATCTTATGGTAGCTGGAACATTGTGTCTACTTTGTGAGTCGCTTTGGGTAAAAGCGTCTAAATGCATAAACATAAAAGCCCACAAAACAGCTTTGGAGCCCTAAAAACAATCTTTAAAGCCCCCCAAAACAGTTTTGAAGCCACAAAAAAATGCTTATAAAGCCACAGAAATGGCTTTTAAAGCCACAAAACAGCTTTAAAGCTGCAAAAAACAGTTTTTAAAGCCCCAAAACAGCTTTTAAAGCCCCAAAAATAGCTTTAAAGCCCCCAAAAAACACCTTTTAAAGCCACAAAAACATCTTTAAAGCTGAAAAAAAACAGCTGTAAAGCCCCCAAAAACAGCTTTAAAGCCCCCCAAAAAACAGCTTTAAAGCCACAAAACAGCTTTTAAAGCCCCCAAAAAATAACTTTAAAGCCCCAAAAAACAGCTTTTCAAGCCACAAAACAGCTTTAAATCCACCAAAAATCAGCTTTTAAAGCCACAAAACAACTTTTAAAGCCCCCCAAAAACAGCTTTAAAGCCACAAAACAGCTTTTAAAGCTCCCAAACCAGCTTTTAAGCCCCCCCAAGAAACTTTAAAGCCCCCCAAAACAGCTTTTAAAGCCACAAAACAGCTTTAAAGCTCCAAAAAAAACGCTTTTAAAGCCCCAACAAATAGCTTTAAAGCCACAAAAAACAGATTTTAAAGCCACAAAACAGCTTTAAAGCCCCCCAAAATAGCTTTAAGACATAAAACATTGTCTTTACTCTGTAATTCGCTTTGGATAAAAGCGTCTGAATGCAGAAACAGAAACAGAAACAACACCTCTGGGGGCACATGGAGGACCTCTGTGTGGGCAGATGAATATCTGAGGTTGTCCTCCATCAACCAGAGCATCCATGTGACTAAAAAGTCTCTCCTGATCTACAGGTGTAGAAGAACCTACGCAAAACTGTTGGGATGGGAGACGTTTCCTTTATTTTCCCATCTGTTAAAGACAGAAAAGAGAACCTGGACTCGTCCAGAGACCCGCTGACCCTAGTTTGGAAAAAGTCCAAAATACAGTAGAGCTTCTACTTACGATGCCTTAACATACGAATTTTCCAACATCCGAAGTGAAATATAATCAAATATTCGTCTCGACATCCAAACTAAATTTCCACCCAAAAAATTCAATAGAAAAATTAAATAGAAATAAACAAGCTAAGTTTGTTTAAAGTTCACATAGTGACCGTCTCCTATACCTCCAATCGCCATTCTCTAAGATAAAGTGCCAATAAAAAACCCTTTTTATTGATTATTTCTTTATAATTTCTTTCTTTCTACATCTCTCTTATCTAATGCATTTGTTTTATTGCTATGTGTAATTATCTGAAGTATTGATTAAGGAGTTATCGTAGGTTCTTGGGCTGTGGAGCCAATTCTAGGAATTACAATGTATTCTGATGGGAATATTTGAACCAACATAGGAATATTTTGACATAAGAATTAGGTCCTGGAACCAGATAAACTCCTAAGTGGAGGTTCTGGTGGAAGAATCCCACCCACCGTGGCGATCTGCCGGTCGTCACAGCTGCTGTGCACCAGCGAGTCGCAGGGCAGCTCGGGGTTCTTCTCCATGTCCACGGAGTAGATGATGATGGCCACCACCGACAGCAGGGCCGAGGCCCCGCTGACCGCCAGGCACAGCTGCAGCTGCACACGCACACGGTACGTTAATGTCACTTTTATCCAAAGCCACTTACAAAGTATTACTGCTGTCGTAAGATCTCTAGAGGAAAAGACCCTCTGTTCCACTGTTTCTAGGGGCTTTAAAAGCTGTTTGTGGCTTTAAAAGCTGTTTTTTAGGGGCTTTAAAGCTGTTTTTTAGGGCTTTAAAAGCTGTTTTTGTGGCTTTAAAGGCTTTTTTGTGGCTTTAAAAGATGTTTTTGGGGGCTTTTAAGTTGTTTTGGGGGGCTCTAAAGCTGTTTTGTGGGCTTTTATGTTTATATTTATGCATTTAGACGCTTTTATCCAAAACCACTCACAAAGTATTACAGCTGTCGTAAGATCTCTAGAGGAAAAGACCCTCTGTTCCACCATCTTAAAGCTGTTTTTAGGGGCTTTAAAAGCTGTTTTGTGGCTTTAAAAGCTGTTTTTCGGGGCTTTTAAGTTGTTTTGGGGGCTTTAAAGCTGTTTTTGTGGCTTTGAAAACTGTTTTTTGGGGCTTAAAAGGCTTTTTGTGGCTTTAAAGGCTGTTTTTTGTGGCTTAAAAAGCTTTTTGTGGCTTTAAAAGCTTTTTTTGGGAGCTCTAAAGCTGTTTTTTGGGGAATAAAAGGCTTTTTGTGGCTTTAAAAGCTGTTTTGTCGCTTTTAAAGCTGTTTTTTAGGGGCTTTAAAGCTGTTTTCAGGGCTTTAAAGCTGTATTTTTCGGGCTTTAAAGCTGTTTTGGGGGCTCTAAAGCTGTTTTTTGGGGGGTTTGAAGCTGTTTTGTGGGCTTTTATGTTTATATTTATGCATTTAGAAGCTTTTATTCAAAGCGACTTACAAAGTTTTAGAGCTATCGTAAGATCTCTAGAGGAAAAGACAGACAGGGACCTGCTGTTCCACCATCTTAAAGCTGTCTTTAGGGGCTTTATAGCTGTTTTGGAGGCTTTAAAGCTGTTTTTGGAGGCTTTAAAGCTGTTTTTGTGGCTTGGAGAGCTGTTTTTGGGGGCTCTAAAGCTGTTTTTTGGGAGTTTAAAGCTGTTTTGTGGGCTTTTATGTTTATATTTATGCATTCAGACGCTTTTATCCAAAGCCACTTATAAAGTATTACAGCTATCGTAAGATCTGTAGAGGAAAAGACAGACAGGGACCTGCTGTTCTTCCATCTTAAAGCTGTATTTTGGGGCTTTAAAGGCTTTTTTCTGGCTTTAAA